GTTTGAACTGATGAAAAAATCAGAGAATCTGTTGTTTTCACCACGAAAATTTCAAGGAAAAAGAAACAGCGATCTTTGAACTTGAAAGAAGATATCCTCAAACTTTCCATTTTGAATTCCGAAATTTATTAGTTTACGGCTGTTTAAATTTCAGGAATCTTACATGGCAAGCGTTTACTCCAATAAAAGTAAGCAAAATTATAAATGTAACACCCTCAATTTTCAATGTAACACTCTCAATCTTCAATGTAACTTTTTAATTGTGAAGACTAAAAACATCCCATAAAAACTCTTCAAATAAAATAACCAATAAAAGATGAAGTGTTATTGTGAAACTTTTTCGCTGGGAAGTTTAATATTGATGTCAATTTTCAAACAAAAATTCATTTACATATTTTCGCACGATTTCCGTTTTCCTAACTGGAGAGCGTAACTCTTTTTCCTTAGGGATTCGACCCCCTGCCGACCCAAAGAGTCCCCCCTTTGGTACTTTTAAGTAAATCCATTTTTGGCCAACCGACCCTAAAATCTTTCTAAAGGCGCCTTTGGCGCCAATATATACTACTTTTGAGGGAGGAGCACGCGCCGAAAAAACGCTTATTATTTGGTCAAAATTTTCCAAAAAGTGCCTAAAAACGCCTATTTTGGACTGTTTTTTCAAAATTTTAGCTGCGATGCAGAAAATTTGGCCAAAACAGGGACTAAACAGAGCTTAGAGAGAGCTCAAAAAATCAATTCAATCGACTTAAAAAAATTCGAGAAATTTTTTAAGACTATTAATTTTTTAAAGAAAAATTCGACAAATTCCCCCCCCCCCCCACCCTCGAGAACAACCTAGATCCGCCCCCCCCCCTCGAGAACACCCTAGATCCGCCCCTCCATAAATCTACCAAAGCTCTTCGAGTTCAAAAAAAATTAATTTGCAGCTCTTTACAGAAACAGAAGGCACATATGCAGCAAATACATGCCCATACTATTGATTAACCATGAAGCAGGTGTCAAAAATACCAATTACTATTGGACCATTCTGTGAACAAAGTTATTTACGGAAAATTGCTGGGAAAAAATCAAATGGATTTTGAGGGCTTGATATGATAAAAAAGATGATCATTAAAAAAACGTAAAACAAAGTAATCTTAGAAAAAACTTCGGTTTGTTTTGCTACCTTGAATCGGTTTTCTTAAAATTAAAGCTACTCTGGGAAAGCTAAACAAGCTATGAGACCTTGAACAAATCAAGTTATTTTGAAAGCTTGAATCGATTGCGGGGAAGCGAAAGCTATTTCAAGCAAGCTATTCAACCGAAGAAAAAATACAATTCAGGTTTTTATAGCCTGAGTGAACTCGCAATTCAACAATCTATTAAAGCGAAACTTGATAATTATTTCACTTCACTCCTTATAATCAAATTAAGTGATTCGTTTAATATAATATTCAGCTGAATTGTGAATGTAACACCCTAACTCTCGCTACTTGAGATTCAGTCGTTTGGATGCTGGACAATTTTGTTGAAACTAAACAAGTTTGAGAAAACTGGTTCAAACTGACTAAAAAAGACAGTCAACGGAAAGTTGACTGACTTTTATAAGTCAAAGAACAATGGAACCGAAAATAAGAAGATCGACTATTTTATAATCTTTTTTCAACTTTTTAAAATTGTGAAGACTAAATACATCCCATAAAAACTAATTGAATAAAATAACCAATAAAAGATGAAGGGGTTAAAAGGTAAATTTTTTCGCTGGGAAATTTAATAATTGATGTCAACTTTCAAACAAAAATTCATTTACATATTTTTTATCACGATTTCCGTTTTCCTAGCTGCAGAGCGTAACTTTTTTCCTTCGACCAAATGAAATTTAACTCAAGTTATAAAGAACAACAATCAAACCGCTAGAAATCGCATTTTAGCGCGATCAAATTATAACAACTTTTCCTAAATAAAATATCAAATTTACACGATCGCAGTAAGTGTCTCACTGCGTTCGTTAACACTTCCTATAATTTCTCAGTACAAGTTTGAACCGATGAAAAAATCAGAGAATCTGTTGTTTTCACAACGAAAATTTCAAGGAAAAAGAAACAGCGATCTTTGAACTTGAAAGAAGATATCCTAAAACTTTCCATTTTGAATTCCAAAAGTTATTAATTTACGGCGGTTTGAATTTCAGGAATCTTACATGGCAAGCGTTTACTCCAATAAAAGTAAGCAAAATTATGAATGTAACACCCTCAATCTTCAATGTAACACCCTCAATCTTCAATGTAACACCCTCAATCTTCAATGTAACAACCTCAATCTTCAATGTAACTTTTTAATTGTGAAGACTAAATACATCCCATAAAAACTCCTTGAATAAAATAACCAATAAGAGATGAAGGGGTTAATAGGTAAATTTTTTCGCTGGGAAATTTAATAATTGATGTCAACTTTCAAACAAAAATTCATTTACATATTTTCGCACGATTTCCGTTTTCCTAACTGCAGAGCGTAACTCTTTTTCCTTAGGGATTCGACCCCCTGCCGACCCAAAGAGTCCCCCCTCTGGTACTTTTTAAGAAATCCATTTTTGGCCGACCGGCCCTAAAAACTTTCTAAAGACGCCTTTGGCGCCAATATATACTACTTTTGAGGTGGGAGCACGCGCCGAAAAAACGCTATTTTTTGGTCAAAATTTTCCAAAAAGTGCATAAAAACGCCTTTTTTGGACTGTTTTTTCAAAACTTTAGCTTCGACGCAAAAATTTGGCCAAAACAGGGACTAAACAGTGCTTAGGGAGAGCTCGAAAAATCAATTCGGTCGACTTAAAAACAAGTCGACAAATTTTTTCGAAAATTTTTTGAAAATCCGCCCCCCCATCGAGAAAATCCTAGATCCGCCCCTCCATAAATCTACCAAAACTCTTCGAGTTCAATAAAAATTAACTTGCAGCTCTTAACAGAAACAGAAGGCACATATGCAGCAAATACATGCCCATACTATTGATTAACCATGAAGCAGGTGTCAAAAATACCAATTACTATTAGACCATTCTGTGAACAAAGTTATTTACGGAAAATTGCTAGGAAAAAAAATCAAATGGATTTTGAGGGCTTGATATGATAAAGAAACATGATCATTAAAAATACGTAAAACAAAGTAATCTTAGAAAAAAATTCGGTTTGTTTTGCTACCTTGAATCGGTTTTCTTAAATTTAAAGTTACTCTAGGAAAGCTAAACAAGCTATGAGACCTTGAACAAATAAAGTTATTTAGATAGCTTGAATCGATTGCGGGGAAGCGAAAGCTATTTCAAGCAAGCTATTCAACCGAAGAAAAGTTACAATTCAGGTTTTTATAGCCTGAGTGAACTCGCAATTCAACAATCTATGAAAGCGAAACTTTATAATTATTTCACTTCAATCCTGATAATCAAATTAAGTGATTCGTTTAATAAAATATTCAACTGAATTGTGAATTTAACACCCTAACTCTCGCTACTTGAGATTCAAGCATTTTGATGCTGGACAATTTTGTTGAAACTAAACAAGTTTGAGAAAACTGGTTCAAACTGACTAAAAAAGACAGTCAACGGAAAGTTGACTGACTTTTATAAGTCAAAGAACAATGGAACCGAAAATAAGAAGATCGACTATTTTACAATCTTTTTTCAACTTTTTAATTGTGAAGACTAAATACATCCCATAAAAACTCTTTGAATAAAATAACCAATAAAAGATAAAGGGGTTTTTAGGTAAATTTTTGTCGATGGGGAATTTAATAATTGATGTCAACTTTCAAACAAAAATTCATTTACATATTTTCGCACGATCTCCGTTTTCCTAACTGCAGAGCGTAACTTGTAAGTTTGAGAAAACTGGTTCAAACTGACTAAAAAAGACAGTCAACGGAAAGTTGACTGATTTTTATAAGTCAAAGAACAATGGAACCGAAAATAAGAAGATCGACTATCTTATAATCTTTTTTCAACTTTTTAATTGTGAAGACTAAATACATCCCATAAAAACTCTTTGAATAAAATAACCAATAAAAGATAAAGGGGTTTTTAGGTAAATTTTTGTCGATGGGGAATTTAATAATTGATGTCAACTTTCAAACAAAAATTCATTTACATATTTTCGCACGATCTCCGTTTTCCTAACTGCAGAGCGTAACTTTTTTCCTTCGACTAAATGAAATTTAACTGAAGTTATAAAGAACTCAACAATCAAACCGCTAGAAATCGCATTTTCGCGCGATCAAATTATAACAACTTTTCCCAAAATAAAATATCAAATTTACACGATCGCAGTAAGTGTCTCACTGCGTTCGTTAACACTTCCTATAGTTTCTCAGTACAAGTTTGAACCGATGAAAAAATCAGAGAATCTGTTGTTTTCACCAAGAAAATTTCAAGGAAAAAGAAACAGCGATCTTTGAACTTTAAAGAAGATTTCTCAAACTTTCCATTTTGAATTCCAAAGGTTATTGGTTTATGACTGTTTGAATTTCAGGAATCTTACATGGCAAGCGTTTACTCCAATAAAAGTAAGCAAAATTATGAATTGGTAATTCTAATATTATGAATTGGTATTTGTTTTCCATTGAAAATTCATAAAATTAAATCCCACGAGGTTGACACAATTAGTTTACAGCTCGTACTTTCTGGGATATCAAGGGAAAACTGAGCAAATATGTTACTTATATATTTTTTCAATTTTAGGACTGCATTTCAAATTTAGTCGAGCAAGCCTTTCGTCAAATCTAGGAATTACAGATGCTCCCCAATTAACGAATCTCATCCATTCACATCGGAAAAACATAAAAAAATTTTCCTGCCTTTCGCAAAACAATTGTCCATGAAAATTTTCGAGAACCATAATCCCCTTATAAGTAGACTAAAACATTGGGTGCATAGAAAGTTTGGTGTTGTTACAACAAAATGGGGCTGTGTGTACAAACCTGTTCAAAGACAAAATCATGGCGGGGGATTCTGTTAATGAAATTGGCATTTTTCTCACCCGCTGAGTGAACGCGCGTCTGTTCGATGGCTGAATGAGCACTTTGTATCCATCTTTGGTCAGCTGGCGCACTTGCTTGGGTGCCAGCGGGGCTCTCCTCTCCCATTGCAGTCCATCTTCTCTTCTGATAGCTACAAAAATCATCTCAGAAATACGCCATACGTTAAATCCGTGTTCAATTTAAAAAAATCGAAAATGTTGAAAAAAACTACAAGAACTAAAATTTTCACCTGTCTTGATAAAAGGCAGAAAGGGGCCTAGCTAAAGCGGGAGACGCGAGTTAGATATTTTTAGAATTTGTTATACTGATGCGGGACGAAATGTGTAATTGCAAAACTTGGACTTTGTCCAAAACCTTAGTTGTTTTAGAAATAAAATAAGTAAAAATAGATGAAAACTTTTGAGATCTGAGAATTTTCCCACGGACGTCACATTTCTTTTACAAAAAATAAGGAGTCTCCACTTTTGCAGAAAAAGAACTCGCAAACGGCTCTTTCGATTGAACTGTTGATCTCAGATTTGATAGATAATTTTCTGTCAACTTTTTTCTAAAATAAATTGAGCGTGGCCAGTTTTACAGATAGGCAATCTGCTTTTTCGATTAAACCTATGATATCAGATTTGACAGGATATCGAGAAAAGTCCAAAAAACGATCAAAAAATAAAATTTTGAAAATCGTAACGTTTTGTGCAAGACAATTTCGGCGTAGCCACTTATGCAGAAGAGATTTACGCAACCTGTACCTTTGATTGAAACCAAAAACTCAGATTTTGGAGGGCAGTTCTCGTGAAAAGTCAGTAAGTTTCAAAAAATCTTACAAAGTTTCAAAACTTTGACGTGTTAAAAGGCCATAACTTTTTTCTAGAAAAAAATTGAGCGGCGCCAATTATACAGATAAGCTTTCAACATCCTGTTGTTTTGATTAAACCTAAGAATTCAGATTTGGTAGGATAGTTATCGACGAGAAAATTCCGATAAACGGTCAACAAATCAAAAATTTGACATCCGAGAATCGTAGTTATTTGTGTAAAAAAATTGGCATAGCCGCTTGTGCAGAAGAGATTCAGGCAACTTGTAAATTTGACTGAACTCAAAAACTCAGATTTGGGAGGGCAGCTCTCGAGAAAATTCAAAAAGTTTCAAAAACGGTCAAAAAATTAAAAGTTTTCCGAGGGCGATAAATTTTGTGTAGAAAAAATTGTGAACGGCCGCTAAAGCGGGGGAGCTTCTCAGTGCCCGTTATCTTGATTGCACTCACAATCTAAAATTTGGGAGGTTCATTTTCGAAAAAAAAATCGACAAGATTCAAAACAGTCAAAAAAAAATTGACTATTTCCAGGACAAACTTTATGCGTAAAAAAATTTGGACGTAGCCGCTTATGCAGGGGAGCTTTTCAAATCCATTCGATTCAATGAAACCAAGGTCTCAGATTTGGGAAGGTAGTTTTTGAAAAGCAAAACAATCAAGAATATAGGTCAATTATTCCCACCACAGACTTTTTCGAAGGCTATAGGCAGAGGGTTAAAAAAGAGACTAATGGAGCATGCAAATCCAATCCCATATAGTTTCTTAATACCTGTTTTTATCAAACAAAAATTCTAGTCAAACATGCCAAGCAAGACATCAGAACTTCAAATTAGCAACAGAAAAAACTTAAGAAGCGGAAACAAAGCCGACAATATCTGAGCAGACACCAGTTAAGCCGAAACACAAATTGATTTTACCAAAAAAACTTAATAAGTTTCGAGTCTTCCCTGAAACTACAATGAAAAACACTTGCAACTACTATGATACTTGCTTAAAGCACAATAACTATCCCTGATGTGGCAACAAAGCCGACAAAACTTGAGCAGATAAACGAAAGTCCGACAAATCTAATGTTTACCGGAATCTTTTTTTCAATTGCATACTTACTGAAAAAAAAAACAAGGCCTGATGGGAATTCAAATCCCGGACCTAAGGATGCAAAGGCGACATCTTAACCCCTAGACCAAGTGCGAAGGAAGCTAGAAGTTGTTAAGATTCAACAATGAAACAAGTTGAAAATTTATAAGAAATTTGAGTTGTTTACGGTAAAAAAAATCAAGTTCCCGATTACAAAATTCTTGCTTTCGTATATATTTTTTCATTTACGCACAGGCGAAGTTGCACTTCGCATACACAAGCAAATATAGGACCGATGAAGCTACTGGGAAAAACTGAATGAGTAAAACTCTGAGTCTACATAATTGCTAAGTGACGCAAGCCAATTATGATGCATTAGCAGTACCTGTCAATTTGAAAAAAAAACAAATCTACTTAATAAAATGCCTCAATTTATAGAGCGGACGCTTTTTAATTGATATGAGAAAAAGTTCATTAAAAAAATCCGACCCTGCCCAGGTTCGAACCCTCTTATTTTGTTGCGGGTCTCCTTCCCTACCTCTACTCTACAGATCCATGAAACCTTGAAGCTAAAGTGCTATTTGTAATATAAAAGTCTGCGTTAATATCCTTAGCATTGGCTATACTTAATAGCTGGTTATTGATCAAAATGAGCACTTTCAAAATGAACACTAATATTTGCGACTTAGGTTGGGAAAAAAAAGAGTTCATACTATCACACAAGCTTTGCTTGTGTAAAGACATTTCGATCTACTTGCTATAATTCTCTCGCGAGTCCTTTGACAAGGTGATTTTCTTTACTGTTGGCTCCTGGCGAGCAAAAGCGATGTTGTGCGATTTGTTAACAAAATACTCGATAAGTAAACTATGTCTGTGCAAGCGCTAACTGGTCACTGCTCAAACTTCGACAAATTTCCGAAAAAAAAACAGAAAGAACTATGACTAACCGAGTGTTTTGGGTTCTGGGACAGAGGATGAAGTCGTTAGATATCTCACACTGCGATTGATCACACCAGCCGAGGCACTTCTGTTTGAGGATGAGGTCAAGATAGAGTTATAGAAGAGAAAGTTCTTCTTCACATGGCCGCCACCGTTGCCACTGCCACAGCGCAGCAGCAGCTTGGTCAATGTCATTACACAATCTGAATTTGAAAAACCTTGTTCATTCGATTCTTAGCTATAACTGACAAGACAAGAGTTTTCCTCTGCTTATTCGGCGTTTTGTGACCAAAAAAACTAACGAAATTTGTTCCTGCAAAAGTTCTGATCACATTTACAAATAGGTTTTAGTTATACATAAGCAAAATATTGGTTTTCATAAATATAGTATCCAAATCTAATAAAATTAGATGGCTCCGTATATCTGCCTTTCAAACGAATCTGGCATTTTAGTGCACGTTTCATTGAATTATGACAAGGTTTTTAAAAAATGTCATGGAAAGGTGGGGGGAAGTGGAAAAGTGCCAACGATTTCTATAAAACAATAGAAGAGAAGCTGAGCTTTGCACCACTTGCGACACAAACAAGAATGACTATGATTATATGCAAAAAAAACGACAAAAAATTGAAAAACCCTTCAAAAAATTGTTTTTTTTTGTCATTTATTTAAATGACAAAAAAGCCGAAAAAATCTTGGGCTCTTTTTTGCTTTTCCCCACCTCACATATGTATTAATTTTATGATGTAATTGGGGGTTTTAGAAGGTTAAACATGAAGACCAAATATGTTTGTCTTGGAACGAAATTACCTGTACCGTTAGAAAATTTACAAGGATATTTCGTAATACCAGAAAGAAGCCATACCTTCAAAAAGTCCTATCTGCGAGAAATAAGCAGTCGAAAATAAGCAGACAAACTATAGTCTAAATGGGGCAAAAATTTTCAGTTTACAAAAAAAACAGGCCCCGATTGGAATCTCGGATTTCCTCAGCACAGGCATGGTTGTTACCACTGCGCCAAGTAAGCTGAATTTTCATTGAATTTGAATTGAATATATAATAAAGAGGGTAACACACGAGTAACATTTACACGTCCGAATTCTGTGAGCAAAGATGTTTACGGGGAAAAAAGTATAGTACCTGTTTGCAACACCTTTGCTTATCGCAAGGCTAATGACTTTTAATATTTAAAAAAATTCCTTTTCCAGCTTAACCCCTTTGATTTTTCCGAAATACAATATACGAGTCTACTTCAAATACTTGCACATAAACTGCACTAAAAGATGTTAGCCTGAACAAGTGAACAGATTTGTACAATTATTACCTCATGCAAATAACCATGCCAACAATATTTGACAGAGACAAAGATTTGCTTCGCAAACGTGAGAAGACGACAAAAAGCAGCTCTATAAAGTGCAAAAAGAAAAAGTAAACATAATCCTCGAATTAAAAAAAAAATCGGCTGCTTCTCGAATTTGAACCTACGACGACCTAGAGATTATGAGTCTCATACACTAGCCACTTAGCCACGGACACTTGATTGCTAACAAACGCAAGCCACAAATAAAGCACAGAGAACAGATGCTATGCAATTTTCAATTCGACATTGAAATTTCAATTTTAATGAACACTTTTAATTGCGAGTTAAATTAGAAAAAAAAATAAGGTTCGTACTAATACACTAACGGGGTTTTCCACCCAAATTTTTTAATTTTGCAATATTCAATGTATCAATGTTGAGAACAACGTACTAAGAGCTCTAGTTGGTTAAGTTAAAACATGCAATCACTTCATTCTTAAGTCGACTTCTAACAAGGCCGGATTTTGAGCAGATACAAATGTGGTCATTTTTTTTCCCAGGAGCTGCTTTCTGTGTTTTTTTTTAATCTGAGTAAAACTGAACTTCTTATATGAGAGCGTATTTGAATGAAATTTGAGCAGTTTACTATTTTAGGCCAACTCGCCTTATTCATAATTCGACGTAAAATTGTGAACAAAACATTTTGAGATAGTACTGAAACTTGATTGGCTAATTTTAGCCAATCAGATTGAAGCAAAATAGTTTCAGTTCAAGATGTTGAAATAATGATTTTTGGGCTGAATAAGTACAAAAAACCCACTAACGCTTGCAAGCTCGCTAGTGTGAACAACTTTAGTGGATAATTCTACGAGGAGTTCCAGAAACCGGAAAAAGCCACAAAAATAATCTTACAAAACGTCAAAGTGAACAAGAGGCCAGATCAGAACCACTTAGCTCGAATGCAAATTGTAAAATTTGGCAGACAATTTTATATTAAATTTTCATTTAACAAGGGGGGGGGGTTGTCAAGAAACTGGAAAAGAGCCATGAAACTTAAGCCTTTGAACGCATTGAATTATAATATATCTCCATTTAACAGTGGTTTTAGGGTCTAAATTACTGGGACGCTATAATGAACAATACATCAGGCTATCTTTTTGAACAAAGCACGTGCATAAAATCATAACTTAATTTTATGAACACTCTGCTTTAATTTGTCAAAACTCTGCCTTAACTTTCCAAGATCAAGTAAGTCACCATTCCAAAATGCAGAACGCACGCATGCTCAGTCTGATTAAAAAAGAGACACGAAACTCTCTCTTCAAAGGCGAGGACCTGACTCGATTCATCGTCAAACTTTCTACGAGCGGGTTCGCCAGAAATGTGCAGAAAGTGAACGAAGCATACCAAGCCTTTTGGAAGACATTGTCCAACAGCAGGAATAAGATAGATCTGGTGGCAAAATGGGGTTCACCGGATGACCCACTGGAGAAGAAGTGGACGGAGCTGGCACTGTATGCCAACGACATGTATAACCTGGTGGTGGACTTCAGAGAACTCGTAGACAAAAGCGAGGACAACTTGAAACGAGAGGTAAAATTTCGATTCTCTTGCAGTCCCCTCCTTCTAAAACCATGATAACGAAAACCTATTCAAATCAAGGATAGCCGGTTACTGTGCAAATAGCAGAGAATGTTCCGACCATTGTCTTAAAAAATAGGCGCTTTTCCAGGCTCTTTTTCCTTTTCCCCCCACCTCACACAAGCATCAATTTTAGGGTCTAATGAGTAGTTTTACAAGGTTAATTATGAAGACCAAATGTATTCATGGCGTAATTTATCAGCATGTCAATTTTCATGACAATCGGACAATATGAACAGTAATTTTAATTATGAAAAATTGCAGGTGGGTGGGGGGAAGGAAAAAGAGCCCTTTTCCAGTTGCCCCTCCCCTCTTATATTTCTTCTGAAATTCAATATATGGAAGTCTATTTAAAAAGATTTTTGCTAATATAAATTGCACTAGGCTCTTTTCCAGTCACCCCTTTGATTTTTTGAATTTTTTTATTTTGTAATTTTTGTTCAGCTCTTATTTTGGCTCTTTTCCAGTTCCCCCCTTTCAAAATATCGAGTTTTATGTTTGTTTTACGTGTTATTACGGCTAAATGCGTGATGTTACGCTGTAAAGTATGAAGAACAAATCTGTTCACAGTTGTCAATTTGTTCAACACGCCAAATTTCATTGCATTATAACAACGTTAAATAAGCTTTTCAAATATGAATTTGAAAGGGGGAACTGGATTATTTTTTGTCCAGGTGTGAAAATAGGACCTGAACAAAAAAAATTAGTATATTCGACAGTCGTCGTCAAATACGGCAATTTTAGAATATTAGAAGACAGAAGACAGTTTCTGTAAACAAAATATGACTAAAAAAAAAGAACCGAAAAAGAATTTTCCATTTTTTTGCAGAATTTTTGAAGTTTCTGATTTGAAAAATGGCTGCTTAAAAATCTTAACTAACTTTACTTGAGTAAAAAATAATTTTCACGGCATCAATTAAGCTTGAATAAGCTATTGTAAGCCTGCAAACTTTATTTTGACAAACCAGATTAGCTCAAAATGACAAGCTGTTCAAAGTTTGTTCACACTCCTTTTTACAGGTAATAAACAAAGTAAAATTTGTGCACCTGTTCAAGCTGACCCATTTTAATGCAGTTTATAACACGAAAATTAATTCTCAGCAGACTTCCATGTAATGAACTTTAGAAAAAATCAAAGGAGGGACTGGAAAAGAGCCAATGTTTCACATACAAAATGCCGTGTCAACATATTTTGAACTACTTTATTTTGAAATTTCGACTCTTTCCCACTTCTCCCACCTTTCAATTTCACTTTTCAAAAACTTTTTTAACGTCATAATGCAGTGAAACTTGGCAAGGTGAACAAATGAACCACTGCGAACATATTTATTCTTCAAACCTTACAACGTAATATCACACCTTTAACCATAATGATATGTAAAACATTTATGAAAATTGAAAGTGTGAAAGGCGGGGGAAGTGGAAAAGAGTCGAAATGTTGTAAAAATTTGTTCACTTGAACACGTTTCAATTAAGTTCATAACGTGAAAAGTCATGTTAAATAGACTTTCATACATTGAATTTCAGGAAAAGTCAAAAAGGAACTGGAAAAGAGCCAGTTCAACATCTGTAACAGCCAGCCGCTTATAAGCAAGATTAAAAATATCGGATAAAAATTTTTCGAGCTTAACTCTGCATTTTCAAACAAAGAAACAATTGATCTGAAAGGTCAACATTGAAAAAAAAACAATTAGACAAAATTATACAGTGCTGATTTTAAATTATCAGAACAAAACAAATGTAATTTCAAATTTAAATTCCTTTTTCTCCACGGGTTGATTTTAGCCAAGAAATTTGGCAGAAAAATTATGGTAACCCAAAGTCGGGCACAAACTTTTACCCCAAAAACTACCAATTCTGGCTTATTTTAATGAATCAAAAATTACGCCAAAACTATCCTCTGAACTACTAACAAAACTATATCAGCATGTCTCTTCTGCAGCCCAACAAAATTTAAGGAATAAATTTTCTCAATCCTGTATAAATCAATCTATTTTCCTTTCATAGTCAAAAATTTTTATCTCTACAAACCAATTTTTTTTATTTGATAACAATTTCAAATCGTTTCGCACCAAGTTCTGGGGATTATAACTTTTGTAAATTATGTGGGCTACATAAGAAGCTCACTTTATTATAGTTTTGTTAGCAACCAAACTGATAGTTCCGGCGTAAATTTTGACTGACTGGAAAAAGGTTAACTTTAAGATAAACATTTCGGCCTGATTTTTGCAAAACAAATTGAACCACATGAAATCTGCTA